ATGAAGAAGATCAGGGGAAATGGGTGTATCCTAGCTGCCTACCACTTTGGGTAAGTTGAAGACATGCCTGTAGAGATAAGTGGGTAGCTAGCTAGTATTATTATTTCTCGTCGTAACCTGTATTTTGTTTCAATGGCGCAGCCAAGGCCTCGAGGGTCACTGGGTTGCATTTATCATCTACCCTCAGGATGGCAGGGCCTGCGTATTTGATTCGTTGACAGTGCAAAACTTAAAAGGGTACAAGGCCTTTGAAGATTGCCTCAGAGTGTAACTGACTGAACTATCTTCTCATATGCGTTCTAATGCCCTGCCTAATACTAGTACATTTTGTATAGTGCTTATAAGGAGTACGTGAAGGATCCTGAATGCTATGATCGAAGAACAGAGAATTTTAAGGCTAAGCATAAGAACCGCATCAAAATCAGACGCAACTTTCCGGTAAGTATTTGAAAGGTTTAATTGTGCTTTCCGTTCATATGCGTTCTAATGCCTGTGTTGTAATGCTTGTGTATCGATCATGCAGTGTGCCAAACAACCTGTAGGATCACAAACCTATGGCTTCTACGCCTGTGAGTTCCTGAGGGTGTGTAAGCAGTACAGCAGCAGTTGGAGGGTGCTCAAGAATGGATTGAACTGGTCGAGAGACGTGCAGAGCACCCAACATAGCTTCAAGCAGATAAAGACAGACATATGTAAGTTTGTCTTAGACAAATGCGTGCTTGAAGGGGGCACGCTCTTCAATGAGAACAGCCCGCTAGCGATTTTACCGGAGTAAGAGAGGCTGAGGAAATGGCCCACGATGATGCGTTCATAGGATTACACCTTAGCGCATGTATAACGACTTTAATATGTAACTGTAATGAATTAACGATGACAAGAACGACTAAGTGAATGTATATATATGTATATTATCTCATGTGTAATCCATGCATACTTTTTAAGTTTAATCTGTGAAATCTGGATGTGATTTGAATTTGAATTTATATGCCTGCTGTATTTTTTTAATTTAGGAAATAATTTACCGAGACGGGCAAATAATAAAGCCTGCCACGGCTAATGAACATAACCGCAACGGTCCACAAAAGGTGTCCGCCGTAGTAAAATAATTTACCGCAGCGAGCACGATTTACCGTGGCCTCTAGGCCACGGTGGACGGCTTTGCCCGCCGCGGGAAACCGAAAACGTCCACCTCCAGTAAAGTTTGTGTAGTAGTGATGATTATGCTATGCAAATAAAATTATTTCTTGATCCGTATAGGAGTACACTGTCCTGATTCCACTTTAAGAACTCAACGAGGTCTTTTATTAACTATACTTTTGCAAGTCACGTTTGCATCTTTTCCTTGTCTTTTGATTAGTATTGACCATGACGGTGCATTTCTATTTACGCCATGGTCAATATTAGGATAGCATAAGAATTACCCAAACTTCTCTCGCTCTGCGGGATTAAAAAACATATGATTCATCACAAAACTTCTCCCGTCATGTAAGATTGACTAGCATAAATACTATGCCAAACTTCTCCCATGCGGGATAAATCTATATACAGTTAACTGAAAACTTAGTTATGACGACTAAAACATTCACTTGTTCTTTATTTTTCAATTAAATCTTTCCGTTGGTTCCAATTTAATTAGAAAATTAATAAAATAATAAAAACAGTCCTGAACCGGCTTTACTCAAGCCTATTCATTCACATACCCCAGCATTGCAGCCCTGTTGACTTGCAGCTAAGTGATCTCGACGGTTAAAACATACGAGGTGCTTCTGCATTAATTCTACATCACCGTTCGGTAGAAAATAGAATTAATACATAAAACTCATAAATTAACTTAAAGACATATAACTACTCTTCACAATTAAATTCTCTCATTGGTTCGAATTTAATTAGAAGATAATTAACATCATTGCAACGGAAACATGAGATATATTCTATTAGTTCAAGAGCATTTCTTTGGCTCTTATCTACTCTATGAAAAATTGACCACGCTGGTGTAAAATTTATTAGAGATTTAAACTTCAAACTTAAACTCATTAAAATATTATTATCATCAACGTTGGTCAGAAAATAACAATACCATAATTTAACATAAATAAATCGGACTACTCCTCTAATTTAAATTTTTGTGTTGGTTCCAATTTAATTAGAGGATAAACATAATCATAATTTACTAAATACAACTGCTCTTCAAATTAAATTCTCCCATTGGTTTGGATTTAATTGAAAGATAATCAACATTAAACTTTTCAGCGGAAATATGAAAAAATAATTTATCAACTTTCTAGAAGTATTTTACTGTACTCATCTACTCTCTGAAAAAATTATCCTATTAATTCAAATTTTGACAGAGATTTAAACATTTAAAACTGACTAAAATTAATATATAATTGCTTCTAAAAATAATAAAACTAAATTCAAAAAACTATTACTGTTATTCTAGCCCGAAGGCCTAGCTCGCGCGACGCGGCCCATTCTTACGCTTGTTCCCATGGCGGCCCAGCGGCAAATCCGACCTATGACCAGCCTCGCGCGTCGCGCGTGCCGCGCCCAGGCCGCAACCTAGGCCTAGGCGGAACAAAGTTGCTACCCGCCTAGGCCATTTTCAATCCACTAAGCGGTGACCGTCGAATCTCATCCGACGGCTGCGCGCATAGATCAGGGAAACAAAACCCCGCCTCCACCGGCGCCTGCCTCCTCCTCTAAACCCTAAACTCATTTTCACCCTCCCCCCCCTCTCTCTTCGCCTCGGTCACATTGGCCATCGGCGCCGGTGAGGAAAAGCGCCGCCAGAGCAGTTCTGGCTACCCTTCCTCTTCTTCTTTCTCGCTCCCCTTCTCTTCTGTTCTAGACCCGCAGCCATGGTGAGTAGATCTAGGGGAACGTATACGGCTGCTCATGGCGATCAGACACGCGTGGCGGCACCACCGCGGGGCCCCTTGCCGGCGCCCGCGCTAGCCTGAGGCTGAGTGCGCTGCCGTTGAGCGGCCTTGTGGCGACACCCTTGACTCCCGAGCCCGATGCGGAGGCCGCGCAGTGGCGTGACCGACCGGCGCCGTCAATTTAGGTGCTCTTCCCGCACAACGTCGGAGCGACGCCGGTGGCGACAATTGCGATAGGTAAGCCCCTTGGTAGGCCCCTGTCCTCTCCGTCCGTCTTCTAGGGTTAGGGTTTAACTCGACTGGATTCGTTCGTTCCGATTCATCTCCTTCTAAATGCTAAAACTTAGACTACCCAAAATAGATCCACACACCAACCTAGCTCTGATACCATTGATAAGTCTAAAAGTACTTCTAGATATAGATCAGTGGGTAATACTTAGCTTAGATAGAAAACTTGGGTCGCCAAGCGCAGTCACGGCCATGGCGCCGCAGCGACGTGGCCACTGGGGTCGGAGTCGGGGAAGCCATGGAGGTGCGGTCTGAAGGCAGCGGTGAAGGCGGTGGAGCTTCTCGTCGCTCACAGCGCACCCTCACCATCGGACTAGGGTTAGGACATGGTGGGGCAGTGGCGGCTTCAGTGAACCTCGTGTCTTGCGCCCCGGCCCTCACCTTTCTCTTTATAGCGCTGCGCGACGGGGGCCCATCAGCCAGGAGAACGGCTAGGCGCCCCCGATCAGGGCGCGGATCAAAGGCCCAATTGATCATTGGGCCAACTGGTAGAGATGAATCTAACAGGTAGGACTAGCAAGAAGTTTCAGAACAAACATAAAAAGTGTTCCAAAGTTGCGAATCAAACCATCCGTGCAAAAGAAACATAAGAAGATAGACAATAGATGCATTTTCACACAATATATGGAAGGTGACAGAGAATTCCCTAATCTCATTAATAGCCATGCATTAACCTTGACGTAGTTCATCTGCGTCAGCAAAAAGATGACATGTGCATCGATGTAATGTTATAAACACAATTCTCTACTGTCAATAAAATGATAAACGGGCTCAAAAGATAAATTAAGAGCATCTCCGGCAGTCCCCCAACAAGGCCCCTCGTCCCCATTAAACTGCCATATCGGGGGAGATGGACCAATTTCCTTGCTCCAGCGGCTCCTCAATAAACCCCCTTTTGTTTGGTGGCCACCAAAAAGTCCACCATCTCCCCTTAAATGAAGGGAGAGTTGTATCTCCCTCAATAGATGGGTCCCACAGTAATTGCCATTTCTTCCTCCCCCAACCATGGCGCTCGAGAAATCCGGTCACCGCCGGCCACCGCGCAGCGCGCATAGCAGCCGCTAGAGTAGCAGCGCTTGTACCGGCCGGTAGCCTAGCAGTGCACGTAGCAGCTGGTGGACCTCGCCACAGCGCCGACGGACTGCATGAGGAAGAAGCGCCGGCGTCTTCTTCGACTCCAGGACGACCACAACGAGGCGATGTCCTGCTCCGGAACCTCCTGATCGGGCCGCACCACCTCCATCTCCGCGCTGTCGCGGGATTCGGCCGCTCCACCTCCATCTCCGTCGCCATCGCGGGATCCCCCGGCCGCGGGCGCGGCGAGGCAGCACCCGGAGCAGCAGCTCAGCACGGGAGACCTGGCCATGGTGCCCTGGACAAGCGGCCCCAGCGGCATCTGTGCGGGGTGGGCGGCAGTGGCTGGATTTCTCGAGCACTGGTCAGAGCCGGGGCTGGGGCTGGACACGGACTAGATGGGACCAGCGACGGAGCTGCGTTGGCGGCGCTACGGTATGCGGGAAGAAGATGTCGGGAGAGAAAAGAAAAAGGAAAATAAATAGAACCTGACATGTGGGTCCCATATTTATAGGAGTTTATTTGTGATCTACTAGAGCAACTCTTCCAATAAATCCAAAAACCAGTATCGGTGGCCACCAATACCATCCCATTGGAGATGAGTTATTGGTAAGTTGCTGGAGATGCTCTAAAGTTCAGTCGACCGATAGGAAGATTGAACTTCAAATCGACAGAAACATATCATCTACTGTACTATGGAGATGTAGACGGTCCAAGCAATCCCACTGTTGCTATTACTTGCTACAATACAGCAAAGATTTATGCAGTTTGTCCATGGATGTATTCCTCAAGCTGATGCTTTGCAAGCATCCCGGCTGTGGTTTCAACCTCGACACAGCCGTTCTTCTCCAACTCAGCCCTGACCCACTCCTGCATCTTCCTCCTCATGCGGCGGCTCTGCTGCATGACCGCAACGGCCTGCTCCCTCTCGGCGCGGTACTGGGCCTTGTACTCGTCGGAGATGGGCATGTCGTCTGGCGTCGCGAAGACGTAGTCGGAAACGTCCCATGCGAGGATGAAGTCGATCAGTTCCTGCAGTACCCTCCACTTCTTCTTCCCCGCCGCCGCCGTGGCCTCTGTCGCCGTGGTGAAGGAATCAGACATCTCGCGTCTGGTGTGCTCCTCGATCAATGGCTTTGCTTGATCGCCGCAGGGCTGTGGATTTGGGGATTTCCGATCTCGAGTCGCGTAGCGCGGTAGAGCCACGGACGCCAGCCGTATATGGATCATGTATATGGAAGTGGAAACGGCCCCGGCCCACTACATCGCTCCCCCTCTGTTCCGAACCGGCCGCGAAAACCAAAACAAATTGTTGTCTCATCTCCCCGGATCCGCGTTGGCTTCGGCTTGCGCTCTATACAGATTACAGAAGTCCACCAATTACCTCCCCTTTTTTTCCCCTTGCACGTTCCTTTCTAATTGACCTTTCAATTTCATCATCAAAACACATACTCTCTCTGTTCCTAATTATAAGTCATTTTAACTTTTTTGTCATCTATTTTGATGAATGTAAAAAAAAAACAAAACGGCTTATAATTTGAAACATAGATAGTACCGAGTAGGTTGCAATTGCCGCATCCCTCATCCCACGCAAAAATATCATCCTCCAGAATACGTGCTCCAACACCAACCGTCTAGGACAGCGACCGAAAAAATAAAACGGGTGGACGGGGCGTCGAGACGACCGCGCACGCAATCCTTTTTCCACGCGGTCTTGCACGCCCACGCGGGGCCCGTGTCGCCCCGAACGTCACCTGCATCGAGAAGAGAGGGAGGGGACGACGGATGCCGAACCAGCACCTGGAGGAGGAGGAGACACCGAAACGATGCAGGAGAAGGCGAGAAGAAGATATGTAACACCTGATCTACTTTTGAAACATCTAAATGCAACACTTGCGACATACGTCTGAAGGCAGATTAAACACTTGAAACATGCTTCTGAAACACTTAAAAACCATTGCAAACATACACAACATCTAGATAAAAACACATGCAACATATGTGTGAAACATATGCAACATCCAGATAAACACACTTCTAACATATGTCCAGAAAACACTGATGAAACATTGGTAACAGACCTTTGCAACATACGTGTACAACCATTGCAACATATGCAACATCTCGATCTACTTTTGCAACATTCATCTGAAACACTTGTAGCATACCTCTGAAACATCTGAAACACTTGAAACATACACGTGCAACATGCGCTTTCAGCAAAACCTGGCAGCCCAGCGGGTGGAGCACTACACAGCGGGATCTGACTGTGCTGTCGCGGTGGAGAAGGAGGATGGCAGTAGGCGGGCGGCTGTGCGACCCCAGTGATTGGTTGCGTTGCCCTCGGCAAAAGGGGCGCACGCGGTGCCCCCAGCGAGCGATGCCGCTATGGAGGAGACAACAGCAGTCGGGTGGGTGTGGCCTCGCACGGCGAGGCGACAGCTGCTTTGCGGTCGTGGGGGAGCATATCGCGGTGGCGGTGGAGAGAAAGGCCGGCAGGAGGCGCGGCGGAGCTAGAAACGAAGCACAGTTGTGGAATGCGTGAGTTTTTTTTTATAATCTGCGGTGATCAGAGAGGGGCGGAGGGAGCGAATAGGAACGGATAGGCTTTAGATGTCAGGTTCACCAACAGGGGCGTCCAGCGCGGACTGATTCCTAGCATTACCGAAAACAAAAAGAAGTGCTATACTGCTAGTTAATCTATATTTGTTTCTATATCTATACCAAATATTAATCTATATCTATACCTCTATATTAATGAGCCAAAATTTTTGTCATTTTTTTTGTTTCATCCTCTCCTAATTAACTTCGTAAATATATAGATAGCTAGAAATTCCAATCCAAATAGACACCGGGGTTTCAACCCACCTCACACCGCTGCCCTCTCACCGTGAACCAAATCGAGACGCCGTAGTAGAGAACCAAATCAAGACCACCACGAACTAGATTGAGACCAAATTGGCCACCATGAAACTAGATCGAGATCAAATCGCCCCCTCATGTATTCTGTAAAATCCAGTTCCAGTGGCGAGCAAAGCAATCATGATAAAAAGGTAGTACCGATTAGTGGGTTGGAATGAGCGGTGCCGAGTCGAGTCAAAACAGAGTCGAACATGATTAATAAAAAAACAAAGATGGATTTTGAAACAGTCAGGCAGTCAGGCAGATGTGTACACACTCAGATCAACCACAAACCGAATACAATCAGGTAATAAATTGAACCGAGTTAAATCAGAGGAGAGGGCGTGAAAGTGGCGGCACCAGAGGAGTGACAGTACTGCTCGGCGGCGCCTCGGTGACCAGAGTACTTCGACGAGTCACGGCACGGCTCGAGCTTGCGGTCACGGCGCGCTCTCGACGACCTCATCCGGGCCCTCGTGCCCACGCAACCTCGATGGCGCCTCCAGGCTCCGGTGCCCTCAGCCTTGTTTAGTTCGCAAAATTTGGATTTTGGAGTTACTGTAGCATCTTCGTTTTTATTTGGTAAATAGTGTTCAAACATGGACTAATTAGGCTCAAAACGTTCGTCTCGCAATTTCCCACCAAACTGTGCAATTAGTTTTTCTTTTCGTCTATATTTAATGCTCCATACACGAGCCGTAAACATTCGATGTGACAAGTACTATAACAACTTCTTGGAATTTGGGGTGAAACTAAACAAAGCGTCACATGATGGATGCTGCCCCTGCACTGTGGCCTCCCCTTCTGGCTACGAGCTGTGGCGCTACGCCGCCTGCTGCAAGCTTGTGTGGCCGTGGCACAGCTCTAACGACAAGGATGCCGACAAGGAATGGAAACCATATCGAAGCGTTGCTGGCAGTGGGTGCCAGTGCACCACGTGCTGTAGGACAGGTGTGTCACCGTCCCAGATACTGGTACGACCAATTCGTGTTCTAGAATATGCTAGAAGGTTATGGATACAAGGATGAGGGCAGGAGGAAGGGGATAGGAAATCTAGCCGCAGCTAGCCTCGAGCCGCAGCCCGCCAGTTCGTGGTTCAGGTTCTGGTCCTTCGACGTCCTGTTCGCTTGACTTATAAGCCGTACTTTTTCAGCCAATAAATCGTATTTTCTCTCACAATAAATCAGCCAACAGTACTTTCAGCTATGGCTTATCAGCCAAACGAACAGGGCAAGGTGTTGTATTGTCGCTGGCTTCCGTGGGCCAAGGACGACCCAGCCCACTCAAGGTTTTTATTTTCGGAAATTAAAATTTATCGGAGGTCACAAATAAAAAGGATAAACAGGATATATCGGAAATATCGGACTAAATTCAAATAAAATTTAATTTGAATTTAAGTAAATTTAAACAAAATTTGTACAAAAAAGATAGTTACTTTCTTATCGGCTACGGATAAAAAGGATATATCGAAAATATCGAGAGATTTCGGGCCCACTTCCCTTGCTGATTGGCTGGCCCAACAGCCTATGAGGTTCCTGACATTCCCCCCTCCTTAAAACACGGCTTTCCCCCAAGCCGTTGTAGAGGTATCCATAGCAAAATCTAAATCACCGGGTCCCATGACATCTGCAGATCATGGTTGTCAAGTAGCAACCATTTGGAAACCCACACCCTTGATGTTTCATGGTCTACAATACCCTCTTGTTGCTCAGAATTTTGAGTGATTGCTTCTTTTCTGATATGAGTGATCCCCAGACACTTGCACTGGTGATACTCGATGCTGCCAACAAAACAAAGCAAAGTACCAGGATATGGTGGCACAATACCTGAGATGAGGCACTGCAATACTAAAATGCTACTGTGCCAAGCACACTCCGTGACAATCACAGCTTCTCTTGTAACACCACTAAAAGATATGAACTGATCACTTGAATTGAACATGACTAGCTCAGATGTCATGAGCCCAAAAATATCATGAGCCTTTAAGCAGCTCCAAACTTGCACTTGTATCCTCTCTGGTGTATACAGGCAGTTGGCACAGAATCTGCAAACCAACTGAATAATGCACCGTCTCAGCCAAATGTACCAATACATCCGCATTTGATTTTTCTCCCATCATCCGAAACACCTCTCCATATCTCAAGTTACAGTATCTCAAACCCCATTGAATAATATTGTTATTAGACTCAAACTTTGTCTCCATCATCGTGTTTACTATGCTATGAAATTCACTGATCTCAGAATGCTTCTTATATGCCCAGATTTCCCAATGATTACATTTCTCCGTAAACAATCTCCTTGACCAACCAGGCTCGCAACAAGCATATAACTGAAGCACTGCCATTTTACTTTGGGGTGGTGGCCATGGATGTATATAGTTCACTCCAATTTGGCAGCACCCAAACAGCAGCAACATGCTTTTGGTCACTGATCGACTTAATTTGAAAGATGACCATAGTCTTGGCCACTCCATGTCATCACTGAAATGCCAAACCAGCTGCAGATTTATGTTGATTGCAATCAACTCATGAACTGAACCGTGGATTTTGACTTGAATACTGGACAATAAGAACATCTGAATTTTCCTACTATCCAATAGAAGTAACCATACATGTTTGGATGGATCATAATTGGTACTGCCATCTCCTGGAAAAACTAATGACCATGGAGGCTTTGGTTAGGCCACCATACTCAACAACCAACTGATTTTCACACAGATTGAACAAATCACCCAACTTTAGAAATGGACCAGGTGGTGGCCATGGTTGCTGTAGCTTCGAAAACACCTTCTTATGGTGGAGCATGCCCTTGATGGCGAAATCATTCATGGTGAAAACACAAAGGTTGAGAGGCAATACCTTGAACGTTGCATGTGTATCCTCTGTACCAACGCCATACCCCGAATTCAGAGTAACAATCATTAGAGTAGACTTTGAGTTGGTGCTGTTGAGCTTGACGTCGGCAACCAATGTTGGAGGCGAGTCAAACAAGGACTCCTCTGGTGTTGAAACGTCCTCAGACAAGCTTTGCTCGAGCAGGAAGGCGACCTTGGTATAGTTGGGGCCGATGTTGGCTTCAAGGCCCGATGTTGGCTTCAAGGCCCAATGTTGAGAACTTGGTGTGCGTCGAGATGAGAGTCACAGGGCTGCCGCTCAGTGGTGAAGCTGAGGTCGAGGAGGGCTTGTCCTTGGCACCGGGGGCGAACTCAGCGTCCACTGCGTCAAGCGTGGTGCCGACGCCGGTGCGGAGGTCGGCTGACGAGGTGCAGGCACTGCGGTGGAGGAGGTCCATGGCGAAGGTCTTGACGCGTGTGCTCGGCGAGTCGCCAG